ACTCGCATCATAGCGCACTGTGCAACTAGCCTATTATTAGTATTAACTAGGGCATGTTAAAAACCTTCATCTAGGCTTCCGTGAAGAGGATTTTCCAGTTTCGTTTAGGATGTGCATGGCTAGTGTGTGGTTCGTTTGGGGTGCGCGTTTTTTTAAAAGAGAGCCTTTAACGAACCAGCTCTTTATTTTATTGGCCCCTATTGTTAGAAATGAAATATGGATTTTAGTGGGTTTGTAATGGGGGCAGGGCTGGTCAATGAGTCCAATGTCTCTAAACTGGATTGAATGGGGGGCATAGTCATAGAATTTTGTTACAGGACTTTCATGATAATGGATTGTCAAAGGCACCACCAGTGGCGTCGCCTGAGTTGCAGACAAGGTGGTGCATAATTGGAAAGTGAGCAAATGGGCAATAGGCTTAGTAGCTAGATTTGCTATTAAGATTTCTAGAGAAAGTCAATTAGAATCTGCAGGATATTCCGTAATCTACATCTATCGATATTTACAACTGTCTCTAGATTCTAGATGAAACCGCATAAGAGCTGCAATAAAGTAAAACAATACTAACCACTCACTATGCTCACAATCTGAGAAGATTCATGGGCACCACCATGAACACGTATTTTGGTTTCAGATATCATTTGCAAAATGGTTACATAATTTTTTTTCACAGCCATGGCTACAACAACAACAAAGAAGAAGCGACTCAACTATACAGAGGAGTCGATGATTGCTGCATATGACAGTGTCAGCAAAGGGATGAAGTTGAGAGAGGCTGCACGGACTCACGGTGTGCCTTACCCTACCTTGAGAGCACGAGTCAATGGTCAGCCATCCTTGAGACAGGTAAAGTATTATAAATTTCTCATCATGTCATGTGAAATTCTATGATTTCGTACTGTCAAACCCCATTATAATACCGCCTACCTTAGGACACCATATACATTTTATATTTTGCTTGGGTGGCGGCAGAAGCTTAGTCATCGATTTTAGACCGCCAATGGACTTTTAACATGATGTGCACCTTGCACAGGGGCCCTCCGAGATTTGTTGCCGTTATCCGAGAAGGCTGTGTGTTAGATCTTACCCACCATAAGATCAGGGGTGTGGCTGAAAGACAGCAGTAAGAAGGAGCCGAGGAGTAGCGATAGAAAGGCTGCACAAAGAGTCAGGAGCCCACAGGTTTATGCCACAGGGCTACATTTTCCTGCCAATTGTTTGTCCCCCTTTTTTCAGGTCCATCCTAAAGTGGTACAGGATATTTTAGTGAAATTTTAAACAATACTAGATCTAATATGTTGGTTCTTTCTCTAGGTCCAGAGTTCAGTACAGTTCAAGAAAATGAAAGTGTGACTAATTTTAATTGGTTGCTTTTTTTTCTCTTTCGTTAGATTGACAGGACTGTACTTAGCCGCGAAAAAGAGAATCAACTCACTGAGTGGCTGACAGAGTCGTCAAGGCGGGGATTCGGGCGGACAAAGGAGCAGCTGCTGTCAACTGTCCAAAAATGCCTGAACAGTAAGGCAGAGACCACCGTCTTCAAGGACAACATGCCTGGGGAGAAGTGGTACCGTCTGTTTCGTAAGCGTCATGAGAACAAGCTCAGCCTTCGGACTCCCCAGGCACTTGGCTCACTGAGGGCTGCTGTCAGCGAGTACAAGATTGTCGCCTGGTTCCAGAAGGCAAAAGAAGACATCAGTCAGATAGACCCTACTGTGTTGGAATGCCCTGAGAGACTCTTCAACTGTGACGAGTCAGGGTTTCAGCTGGGAGGAGGGGTGAAGAAGGTGTTGGCGGCAAAAACAGACAAACGAGTCTACCAGGTGACCAACGACACACACAAACAGGTGACAGTTCTTGTTTGCGGCAACGCCCTGGGTGAGCTCCAAGCTCCCCTTCTTATCTTCCCTGGCCAGCGCTTCACCTACGACCCTCTCGAGGGCTTTGAGGAGGCTCATATGGCCAAGTCAGGTAATGGGTGGATAGACAGTGAGATTTTCGCCAGGTGGATGGAGTCTGCTTTCTGTCCTGCTGTCGCACATCTCCAGAAACCTGTCGTACTCTTTGCTGATGGCCACAGCACTCACCTGACCCTGGAGATCCATGAGATTTGCCGGTCTCATGGCATCATTCTGTATCAACTGCCCAGCCATTCAAGCCATATCGTTCAACCGCTGGACCTGACCAGCTTTAAAAACCTCAAACGAGCGTGGTATGAGGAAGTGATGAAGTACCAGGAGGACAACTCGGACACCTTGTCAAAACAACATTTCGCCAAAGTTTTCAAGAGAGCTTGGGAAAGGCGGGGACATGA